CAGAGTGGACAGAAGTAACATCTGGGGTACCCCAGGGTACTATATTATATTATTTTTTTTTTATTTTATGACGATTTACCACATTTGTGGAAGGATTGACATAACAGGTGAATATCACCTCTTCAAAAATGTCAACCCCGAGACCAGACTGTAAGGTTTGAACCACTCACACCGGGAAGGTCCCCTACTCTTTTCGATAAGTGCAGTGGGTTCTTTAACGTGCGTGGGGTGTGGCTGTCCCAAACACGGGACCTCCATTTAACGTCCTATCCGAGGGACGTCCCTAGCCGAAGCTAGGTACTCATTTACACCTGATGAGTGAAGTGAGGAAAGTCGTGTAAAGTGCCTTTCCCAAGGGCACAAGATCGGTGACATGGGCAGGGTTCGAACCCGCGACCTCTCAGGTGAGCCGAACGCGCTACCGACTGCGCCACACGACTCCACTAATATTAGGGCCCCTATTGTTCTTAGTTTACATTAATGACCTCGCTGACAATCTTAACTCCAATATTTGTCTCTTTGTGGACGACTGTGTTATCTACAGAGAACTTAATAATGATAACCAATGATGAAGATCACATCCTCTTGCAAGACGACATTAATACACTTGACTCATGGCAGAGCGTATGGCAGATGGAATTCCATCCAGCCAAATGTTTCGTCATGCGCTATACTCACAAACACAAGCCTAAACTATACGATTACAAACTAGGTAACCACACCCTAGCGGAAACTAACAATCATAGGTATCTAGGAGTCACCTTGAACAATCATTTGACCTGGTCTCAACACATACAACATGTTACCTCCAAAGCGAACAAGTCTTTGGGTTTTGTTAAACGAAACCTTCATAGTTGCTCCAAATCTGTTAACAAAACGCATACTGTAAATTCATTTTTGTTCGCGGGGAATTAATTTCGCGTTAGGAAAGGAAAGGGGATTTTTGCGGTGTTTTAAGTTCGCTGTTGAAACAATACATGCATGGTAGTGCATTTCACCATCATCATCCGTCGTCCCTTTCGGGCGGGGTAAGTTGCTGCACTACCGTACTCCACAGTGCATTGCAAAGTTCATGGGCAAACTAGTACACAAAATTGTGGCAGTGTGCCGCTATTGATGTATGTCTTCCACTATTGTCTTGTCTAATTTCAAATGCAGACTCACGGCGCGGTTCTTGTTGAGAATAGATAGAGAAGAAGGATCAAATAGCGCGGTTCTTGTTGTGGAAACAGTAGAGAAGAAGGTCAAATAACTTGTTTATTAAGACTCTCCTGATATGTATCTAAATGAGTGAAGCAAGTGCATGTGTAAGTTCATCTGGGTTTACTAGTAAACAAACGTCCGTGCCAGATGTGCATCCACTGGACTGGAAGTGCAGTCTTGAATCAGCACCTGCGGTTTTGTGAACAGGTGTTAGTCGGTGATCGCCTCGCAAAACATCCACCCAGTACAGAAAAAATCTTATAGACAAGAAAAATCTTTCAAAATCAAAAAAAATTCTAATGAACAGGCACAGTCTGCTATTAATAACCTCTAGTAAAACCTCTGCTAAGTGGACTACACTGCAGTATGATTAGAATGAACCAGGCAACAGGCCAACTCACGCTCGTTCCCAGCGCCCGTGGAGAAGCCATAGGTTATAGATCGTGGCTTAGCCCAGGCTATGGAAAATAAACTTTCTTTAATGCAAATCTGTCGTTTTTGTTTTCTTTGTGTCTTTCTAAAGGGTTGTGATAACCTACTCTACTCGGGTGGTATTTTCGAGCGCGCTCGCCAGTACGTAACGTTAACGTTTAAATACACGGCGGCGATCTGACACTGCATTATTTCTACCGTAGCGGGTCTAAAACAAGACGCAAGATTCCTATTTTGGGGTATAAAATGTTGTCACAGTGTACACTATTTAAAACAGACCTATACAAAGTACCTTTCTTTGGCGACGCTAGGGTGTACCGTTACCTCTCTAAATTTGCCCAGAAGGGAGTTAGTCACGAAAGGAACTTAGCCACGGAGGGAGTTTGGGCATTCTCCACGGAAAATAGCAGCCATCCCGTACCCAGGTCTGTTTGCGAAGGTCGTCCCCTGATTCGTCAGAGCAATCTAACCCCGGCCGTCTACTCTCATTCCCAGGATATGCAGTGTAACTCAAGTAGCCCTCATGCGATCTATCTATGTATTGCATGTAACACTCTGGCCCTACACGTAGCCCTCATGCGATCTAGCTACAATGGGTGGGGTAAGCTGACGATCTTATTGTTTCGACGCTGCGGCGGAGCGTGAGGCCAA